TTCTGGTAAAGACATAGACTTAGCCTGTGCGTCTGCATCTGCCATGGAGTTTCTGTGACACTAAGTCCCAAACCTGCAGTACCTCAGCTGCTCTTCCTCTATTAAATAGATATGGTAACAACAGTCATCTCTTCCACAGTCCCTGCAGCCTGAAGAAGAGAAATTCCACAGCCTAGCTACGATGCAACTGTGCAAGATGCTAGCAATAATAACATCCATGCTGCATCTGTTCATTCCTTGGTGTTTTCATTATATATCTTCTCTGAAAGCCTGAGTCCCAGTAGCTACACAGTTTAAAAAAAAGAGTTTCTATTTCTAACAAATAGTTGCAGAGGAAGGCTTGAAAACCTAAATGCCAAGCAGATTTAAAAAAATCCAATTACAATTTAAGACAAACTCATGTGTTTCAGACAATATTAAATACTTGTAATGTCAGTATTATAACAGTATTTTCTTTCTATTTGTAATTGATGAAAAAAACATTTCCTAAATAGGAAGTATGTGAGCAACTAATAGTTGTTGGCAGAAAAACGCAGACAGAAAGAAGGACCAACATGGTTAGAGGAGGGACGCCAGCAGCTGGTGGAGACAGCAGAAGAACGCCTGGAGCATGAAAGAAGAAACTGAGAGAAGACAAGATATGAGGCTAAGGAACAGATGAAGAAAGAAGAAGATGCTAGACTAGCTCTAGAGGAAACCAAAACACAAGCACAGCTTTTAATCAGGTATGTAGCTATTAATTGAAGAGTGAAGTTTTTTTTTTCCCTCAGTAATAATAATAAATCTTTACACCTAGTGCCAGACTATACAAAAATAATTCTGTAGTCAGGAGTTCGATCAATATAGTTAACATTGAAGAGCAGCACTGGTACCTCAGGAGTTAGCTATGCTGCCTTCAATTTGAACTCCAAGACACAATGCAGTTCTTTTGCTATTCAACCAGTTTTCCAATGTTTCCCCAAATTGCATCAGCAATTCACATACATCTTATCTGTATTCTTTAACTGTTTTAGAGTTTATAACATCCACTTACACTACAGAAAGAAGCCCAACTAGATTTCCCCACACATCTGAAACTATGATTACCTTTATGCAGTCCATCGGAGCAGACTCCAGCATAGCATGCTTCCAGAACTCATTCCTACCAGCACCTCAGAACACAGGAACTGGGAATCTGCATACCACATACTAAAACACTGCAAATAGCGTAACAGGCCTTCTTAAGGGAAGCCTAGATCAATTTGTCAGGCACAAAGCAGTATCAGGTATAAGAGGATACATGGGAACTGCAGCTTAGCAGGAATAACTATCTCCTGCTTGCTCTATTCATACTGTTGTGACAGGAGAACATATCAGCCCACAAGAAGGTATTAGCATAAGCCAACATTTTCTTCCCCAGCCCATTCCAAACCTTGCTCAAAGCCAGCTCCTGGGGGAAGTCCAATCTCCTGTCCAGGTTCAGTGCTCAGAAGGCACTGTATACACTGTGGCAAAGTCAAAGAAACTGCCAGTGAACCAGCAATGAGCTAACTGAGTGTGTAGGTTTCGAGTCAAAGAACCAGCTTTCTAACCCAAGAAGGAATTCTGTCCTATGTCTACAATCTACTTTATTAATACTGTTTGCAGGCAAAGAGCAGATCTGGAACAACATCTGCAGTTCCAACGAGCACTACTAATAGAAGCTACCGGACTAGAACACACTCAAGATGTTCCTTGTCCATGGATGTTTTCTTATTTTCAGCTGCTTGAAAAACTAGGCCTGAAAACCATACAAAAGAATAAATAAATGCTTGGTGCCAGGAATGGGTCATTGTAGTGAGCTCTTTCAGTTCCAGTCTAATTCAAAGTTCCAACCTGATTCAAAAGAGGAACAACATTTCTTTTCAGGACAGGTGCTACTCTCATTCACAAATTATTTTCCCAGACTGCAACAGTGTATGCATCCTATTGATAGCAAGTAAAAGCATTCATGTTTTACCAGCCAGTAGAAATGAATCCAGACAGACCTCTTGAGGTGCCAGAACGCGTTTAGTTTATCCTTTGCTGCTTCATCCCAGATTCTTTGGTCCATTTTGTGTTGAGAAAGAACTGCCAGTTTACAAAAGGTATAAAGACCTCAGTGCTGACTTTTGGAAGAATCCTCCAAACCAATAAATTGCAATAAACATGCTGTTTAAGAAAAGGCTAGATTTCAGTATCAACAATAAGACAACAACAGAGAAACTATAGCAAGATAAGAACTTTTCTTCCTTGTCAATCAGGTTTAACTTATTTTCTGCTTCTCTAATATTATCTAACATAAGAAAGCGTAACATTTGTAGATTCAATTTGTATTGCAGTTCCTGTGGAGTCTCTCCTGTGGAGAAGAGTAATAAGTTTTTGCAGTCTCTAAATTAAAGCTGAACTTCATTAAATTAAATATGCATTAAGGTTCTAAAACCAAAACAAAACCAGATTACACTACTTCCAACTTGCACAATTCCTACAGTTCTCTGTATGATGCCTCAGAAGCTGATCTTCTCATTTAAGAAAATTTACCCGAACAGCAATAATTCAAAAGTGCATACAGAAGATGCGCAGGTCAGCAGATATTTTAGTATTGTAGTCTTAAAAATAATTTCCATTTAAAGTAGGAAAAGTTAAAAACTAGTATACAGTTGTAGTGCTTCTAAAACAATACATGGTTAGTCAAAATTTGTGGCAGACTTCAAGTTTTAGCATTATCTGACATCCTAACTGAAGTCCAAATCCCACCAACATTTACACATTTAACTTCAAAAAAATCTCATTTTGTTGATGATCATGTAGATATATTTATACTTGAGAGCATACACAAATCCTTTAAACACACCTGCTTTAAGAAAATCTGTTGAGACTTATAATTTTGTAAAGTGCTCATGAATACAGCTTTTATATGCCACCATAGTGAATATTAAACATATTAATATTTCACGATTAGAAATAAAGCAAGGATTAGCTTCCACCTTCCACTGCATAACTGACTCAGTGAAGATGGTTTCATTCTCCCACCACCACTTTTTTTTTGTTAAACACTTAACAAAACCAGCCATCAATAGCTGAACTCAGTTCTTCTAATATACAGGTAAGCATGTAAACAAAGACAAAGAAAAATTGCAGGAGGAAAAAAAAGATTATTTTCTCCATTTTTCTCCAACATATGAAGGCCAATCTGACTTCCAGTCATGTGCTTCAAAGCTACGAGTGGTTTAGAAATTCCACTCCAGACCATCTTTTCAGAAAGAAATTCTTTGAAAAGTATTAGTTCTTCCAGAGAAATGAAGAAAATTCAAGTCTGTCTGCTCCTTGAGTTCATAATTCAGGTTTTATTTCAATGTACAACTTCCAAGAACAAATTTCCTTAAAAAGGGTACTAGTGCATCTGTGTAGCATGTGTATCTTCCCATTTTACATTACGGTCTCAATACTAATCTGAGGCGGAGTATGGTTTTCCTGTTATTACTGTTCCATCAAGTTGTAACAGTACAGACATTGCTTTAGACCAGCAGCTCCGTTGAGGCACTAGCTCTCTGAGGCTTCACAGCAAGTCTGAGAAAGAGGTCAAATCAGTTTGTCACTGGTACCATATCCACTCTATAAAGAGATGTATTTTAGGACAAGATTACACAATTGAAAGAAATCTTCGCCCTGAGCTTCATCCTACTGAAGCTGCGTTCTGCAGGAAACCCTCCTCCATAGTCTCGAGAGAACTAAAGGCAGTGCTTCAACTAGAAAACTGATATAAATGAGCATATAAAACAGATTTGGAAGAGGAGAGCGAACAGTAAGAAGCAAAGAAAGTTGGTGCAGCAACTAGAGTAATAGCATCAAAACCCAGGGGATCTGGAGTCTGTTCTCAGTTCCACTTTCAGCTTCCAGAGCGACCCAAGTAAACTACCGTCCCCTGAGCCTCAGTTGCTAATTTGCAGAAGAGGGATAATGGGAATTTGTCTACTAACGAGCATTCTACAAATTTAAATTAGAAGATGATCTGGTAATAATCACAAGGCTGTTTTATTTTTGGTATTCTGAAGCAGATATATTTAGTATTCTAAAAAAGCAATCAGAGATAAGTGCAAAGAAGCCATGTTGTTCTACATCACAGTAGCAATCCCTCTTCCCCCTAAGAATTGAATTACATAGAATACTTCAAGAAAACCCCATATTCTGACATTTTGTAAACAAAATTTTTAATCTTTAGAAAATTGCTTAGCACAACTATGCGTACAAAAGTATTACTAAATCAGAAACAGGACACAAACCACAAGCATGAAAGAAAATGCATTTCTAGCTTTACAGCAAGTGCCATAAAAACTCATCATTCAAAATCTGCAATTTCTTCCAAGTACGCCAGCACTAAAATGTGTCTTTAAATGAAGCTGGCATTCATAGTGAACTTGATTTACCAAAGCAAATCAGAAGCAAGTCCTATTTATCTGCAGAAAGGCTGAAGCAGGGACAGTGCAGAAACCTTCTCTCCACACTACCCTGCCCATAACCTCCCATCTGAGCTTTTATATCCAGTAACGTGTTCTCAAACTGACCATTTAGAACCTGCAACTAGCTAGAACATGAAGTGGACCCTCATCATGATGCCTGATGAACTATCATGACACTTCCATGTCATCCATTATAGAGAGATTATTTAACAGCACCACGATCATATGAAATGTAGACATTAAAAACCATCTTATTTCCTTCTGAGTTGCATTTTCAGTTTACCTTTTGTGCATGAAGTGAAGCTGTATGTAACTGTATGTGAATATTCTCTAACAAGAAAAGAAACAGCTAGTAGTCTCAAATAGTTACCTGCAAAGCAAGCAGATCAAGTATTTTTCTAGGGCAAGTAGAAAAAAGTATTTTTTTTTTTTAAGTGAGGTATATTTACAGAGCACATTTTTTTTCTGGCTTCAACGTATAGTTACTAGAAAAGCATGTCCTAATTATAACTTTTTATGGTTTTGCTCATTTCCAAACATTTGAAAAGAAAATGCAAGTTGTTTATAAAATTGTTTTTCTTGTTTATTTTAAATGAAGCTGGTACAGACAATGTCCATTCAAAACCCACGTCCCAGGCCAAAAGGTACAAACAAGAGTGTCAAAGTAACACCAGTTGTCTGCTGTGAACATTCTTGCATGAATACCTGCATGTACTAATTGCTATATGAAGTTAAAATGCTTCTGGGCTCTTCTGGCAAGATTTAAGAATCATTAGGGTTTTCAATTTTATGTCTTCAGCAAAGCCATCTCTGGAGCAAGGTACAGATGACAACAGTTCTAGTTTTCCATTTCCAACTTGGTAATCTTCTTCGTTGGGCCATCAGCACAATTTAAGCAAAATAGCTCTGCGTTACGGATACACAATTTCTCCACAGTTTAGTTCTCTGAAAAACTTCATCTCGCACTGAAAGTTATAGTCCAGGAGTGAAACAGTCACACATCAAAACTTCAGGGCAGATATGGAAGTCATTAAGAACACTCGCCCACCTGGCAGATCTTACAGCCTTCGTGCCTGAAATGCACGAACCTAGTGAACATACAAATGCATGTGTGTACGTGTATTTCTAAAGGGGGGGGCGCAGAAGGGAAGAGGGAAGCAAGGCTGCAGCTGGATCACAAAAGTTCAGCACAATGAAAACAGAAACGATAGTGTATAATGAGCACGAGAATTCAAAATACCAGACGCTTGAAAATAAACTCCCAGAGATGGGGTGCCAGTTTCAATTCAGTGTTGAACACCACATTACAAAAGAACTATTATTTAAAAATAAAAAAGGATTAAGGGGGAAGAAAACAAACAGAAGGATCTAAACTGTTGAGTGACCCCCCGTCTGTTCCTGATAAACTTCAATCACATCTTCCTCCTCCATCCCCAGCTGTGAGAACAGAAAAAAACAGCATATAATTGTTATAAAACTGGTGTACTGAATTCAGAGCAGGTCCTAGACAAGTTATACAATGGTTTGTTCCTCTGTCCCGTCATAATTCATCAAAGGGGTGAAAAAAATTTCAGTCACTGTCTCACTAGCCAACATGCATGATTTTTAGTCCTTTTCCTTCAGTCTTATGTCAAAGCAAAAGCCTTACCAGCGAAGTCTAAATCTGCTTGTGGAACAGTACACATCAGCCTGGAAGTTGCTAGCTTTACCTTTCTCTAAATCCCTTCTTGGGCAACAGATGCATAGGAACGTAATCAACATCACAGTCAATGCACCAGCTGTACAGCCGTGTGAATTATATATAGCACACTACTAGCTCACAATACAGCTAAGACCTACAGCTTGCAACTGAAAGCCTGTTTACAACTGTTCTCTCAAAGAGGGTAACTTGTTCAATTTCACAGTACACAAGTTTGTCTGATTTTTCAGAAGGTCATTATTATAACAGTGTTTCTTCCTGCTTTGTCATAACAATTGGTGGAAGTCACTGGACAGAAGTAACCTGTTTTCAGCTTATTTACACTTTCATCTAATACATGTGAACTAAATACATATTTATTCCAAAGTCACACCGAAGTTCTAGCTCAACAACTGGGAAGTTCCCTTAGGTTTTTTCTCTCTGGTAAGCGGTGACTACACCCTCCCTTCTGAGACAACATTACACATGAAGGTCCAATCAGACTCTTTCTGAACTGCATATCGGCCTTATTAAAGATTCTAGTTAGGCAAATATAGTCAGACTATATTTGACTAAATATAGTCCAAAAAGTTGGCTATATTTAAAGAAACACCTTGATTTTGGTTAACAGTCTAGCAGAACAGAGAAACTAACCAATTTGGTATTTAGTTTCTCCAGTGAACTATGTAACACTTTTTCTAGAAGGAAACTCACCTCCTTGGGGGTATGATTATCAGTAATTCTCTGACCCTCGAAGAGGAACCTGAGTGAATTCATTGGAACACCCTAAAAAAAGAAACAGATGTACAAGAAAAAAAACTTACTGAAACTTGTACAGATTTACAAGAAAAACATTTTTAATAAAAACAACACGTGAAAGTCAAAAAAGAAAGTGTTAGTTCCTGTTACACAGGAGTTCAGCTATTCTGTTGCAACCATGTAGACTACAAAGAAGTGACTCAAGGAGCATGATAGTGCTGAAATGTGTGTTTATTCTAAAGTCTCACTGGAGTTCTAGCTCAACAACTTGGAAGTTTCCTTAGCTTTTTTTTCCCCCCTTGTCTTCTTTTATTTATAAAGTACTGGCTACACTCTCCCTTCCAAGACAACATTACACATGAAAGTCCTGTCTTTTTCTGAACTGCGTATCAGCCTTATTAAAGATCCTAAGACAATAGGGGGAACACGATGTTTACTTCATGAACTGTCACCATAGGAAGGAATAGCAATCTTCACCGTTGCCAGTTCTGCAAAAGCTCTACACTCTGGACAAGAAAGAGCAGAGCTGAGGGGGAGAAGAAGGAACACCATTCAAACAGGGAGAAAGGAGCATCCCAATGGTAAATAAAGTTGAGTTGCAGTGTGCCTGTGTTATGGCAGAATGTCATACTTCACCTCAATAGATGGGGCAAACAGCTCATCTTTTTCTTCTCTTTCAAGTTATGAGCAAAACAAACACAAGTGAAATATGACCTGTTTTGTGCATCAATTAGATCTCAGAAATATTGCTTGCAAATAACTAGGCAGAAAAATTCACAGGAAAGAACAGCTCTTCACACTGCTCCAACAATCCTTCTGGCCAACTTGGAAGAAATGTTCACAGTCCCTTTACCAGAGAAAGGCTACTTGACACCAAAAACCGTATTGACTGCTGATGAAGGAAGTCACAGACTCTCCAGAATTCAGCCCAGGAGACAGATATAGCTGTGTTCATTTAAACAATTATTTCTTTCTTAAAAAAAGAATTTCACACACATGCATTTTCATCAGTCAATAAGACTGTTGCATGAATTATTTCCAAGATCTTATTTTAAAATAATTTCAAGTTTTTCAAATGAATCACAATTTTAATCAGTTGGATTTGGCTACAAACATATCTTGGTGTTTGATCTTTTCTTTCCTCCTACTCCAGAAGGATAGCAAAAAAGAACACATTCTACAAAAGAACACTTAACCAATAAGTTCAACTTGTCTTAAGGTATTAAGAAAAAACCCAAAGTATTACTTCTTATGATTATATCTCCTGAAGTGAACTCCAACACAGTTACTCAAGAAAAGGCCACACAAGGCATCTATCCCCAAAGCTGGGGATAAACTAGGCCAGCGCTTCTGGAAATAGCAGCAGTGAATCCACAATACCTGCCACAGAATCTGGAAGTGAAGATATATTTTTGTTCTGTAACAGTAGTTACTGTTTACCTACATCCACAATTAATGTTGCAGATTTCTTTAACTCAGGGCATAATAATTAGTGTTAATCAATTACCATATTAATGGCTGTAACAATGCCTAAGGCTGCTCTCATCCTAAGCTGCAGTATTTTACAGCTTTAAGGGAATTTCACTTGGAGACAGGAGATTTTACAGTAACTATAAATGCATGCCTGGGCATTTTAAAAGGTAACTTCTATGTCTTCTGAGCAGCCACTATATATTTTCAAACAGTAATTTTAAATTACTACAAAACTCACAACTGTCTTAAATAGAAAAACCTTTACTTGTCAAAAGAAATTAGGAGATCCATTGTATTTGTACTGTCAGACACCTGTCCTGCTAGTAACTAGATAGAAGCTTGACTGTCTCAACAAATGTCTTTATTTGAAAGAACAGTGAGAAAAGTAAAGCTAAAGTGTTTGGCTTTTTTTTTTTCTTTTTAAAGAGGGAGTGTCATTGTTTCACAAACCTGTCTTTGACAGTATGATTCTTTGAGTTTCTTGAGGTGTGTTGTCATTTTCACCTTGAAATGAATTTCACTGCTGTCCTAAGAACAGAAAAGAAAAAAGTTACTCTCTTTGTAGTAACTGCTTATTTTATCCATGCTAATTTTAAGACTTTCATTAAGAAAAAACTTATGTAAAGCTAACATGGAATGCAATTTAACTATCACTGTGCATACCTTGGTACATCATAACACGAACCTCCAGGGTGATTTATCGGTTGTTAAATTCATCATGCACTTCCACAGGAAGCTCTATTTTAAAACAGATGGCATAGTATAGCCTTAGGCTCACTACGGAGGTTTTGGATTTAAAAGTACTAAAAACCATACATGGTTCCATCTGTGCTTCCATCTTTACCCAGCTGATGTACTTATGAAATACAAACATACATATGCAGGGGACTTCTGCTCTAAGATTCCAAAAGAGACAAGTTAAAGCTTGCACTTCAAAATATATATGAAATCTCGTTCAATTAGAGTAATTACCTAGAAGTTAGGATACAGGCAGACTTGGCAACACAACACTAACCTAAGGAGAAATCTTAGGTCTCGTTATTCTGTAGTCCTTCCTACCAGCCATAAGATACGAGTAACTACAACTGTCAAAATGGCTACAGATAAAACAGACTGCAAAAGGTTCTGTGCAAAAAGCACGTAGGTCACATTCAGCTTTTGAATGTGTTCTCATCATTACCTATTAAACCAGCAAGAGGTAAGCTAGTTCGTGTTAGTCCTACTTTAAGTCATCCATCTCCAGTCAACAGCACAGCAATTGCGCTAATGCTCCAACAAACAATACCGAGTTAAGTCATATGGGCTAGGGGTTCTTTGTACAGAAGGACTTCTGTTCAAGAAGGATCTCGACATTCACGTTCCAGCACAACTTGAATTCAGACTTACAATCCGCCATTCACATCTACCAACATGCCAGCCAACAGAATCCTCTTCCTATCCCTGTCCAAGAAAGTTGACCTCACTCTTAGTGTACTACAGAACTCCAAAGACCTGAATTTATCAATTTTGCCACATATTTCATTCATATCCTTGGATAAATTAATCCCCCAATGCATCAGGTCCCCTAGTTATAAGATGGGGATCACACTGACCAAATCCCAAGTCATAAGGATAAATTACTCAAGCTTTTAAAAAAAAAAAACCACACCAGGGAGTATACTAACACACATTACTGGCAATTGGTAAGTAGTTTATGGCAGGGGAGGATCCACATTGAAGAACTGAAAGTATCAACTTTCATTTGTTCATTTCTACAATACAAAAAACTCACACCTCCACCAAATGTCAACAAGTAATTATGTAAAAACTCACCTGCCCAATGACTTTGAGTTTAATGTATTCCCCTTCTTTCTTATCTCCTAAGTCCTCAGCTGAAGGTTTTGCTTCCTGTAAGAAAAGCATTAAAAAAAATTCTAATCAGTTCAACACTTCGTTATTTTCACTGGACAGTACGACAGCTGTCATCCTCCTTATTACATGAAATCAGACTATCCAAGGCACCTTATTTCTTCCTTTCTGTGTGTGAAAATAATAGCAACATAGTATTATGAAAGGCTGTCTGTCTGCCTATGAAAAGTTTAATTAATGACGGAAGAGAAACACTGAAGAACATAAGAGATGAGAGAAGGATCATTTGGAAATAGATGACAGATGCAAAAATGAGAAGTATGATTTTATACCACTAACTCCTAGTCAACAAACAGACTGCAAAAAAGAAATACAGGAAGTGAACTGAGGCTCAGATATTTGACGGAAAAAAGAACATCATGAAGAGAATAAACAGAAAGCACTTGTAACACCCTATCAGTGTAAAGAGAGTGAACCTTGCAAACATTTTTCAGTATATCAACAGTAGTCACTGCTTTCCAAAGGATGGTCAGCCACCTTCTTTTCTATGACAACAAAGCAACACCAAGTAACAACTTCCTTCTAGCGTGTTTGTTTTAAGACCACAATTCTTAAAAGTTCTTAAAAGTTGCAGTTCTACGAACTATAGTGTTTTGATATCTTTCCAGGGTAAGAATTAATTGTACAGACAAGTTTGATTCAACACCTTGAGCACTAAAGCTCATCAAAAGGGTTTAAGTATTATTTCTACAAGACATGAATTAAGGACATCAAAGTTTTCACGTTAGCTGCTGATAGATAAGACAAGTGAGAGATCGGGTACTATTAACCCCATCCCTTGCCTGTCACTACATATTATGGATCAGGTCTTCAGTTATGTTCCACTGCAGCACAAAGGGATTTTACACAGACACTGCCTCAGGTCCAGATGGTGCTCGACAAAGAAATCTTCCCAAGTAGTCAGAAACAAGGATACCCTGCTGATCATGTTTCAAATCTTCCTTTTATATTTTATTACTTAACACAGCAGACAAAATAAGCAAAATACGTACAGGTGCCTACCACATATGTTTTCCCAGCACTAAAGGGACTTCTTGCTGCGTATACAGAAATATCCTTCATATGGTTGGACTTGAACTTTAGGTTCAAGCACCAAAACCACATACTAACCTTCTGTATTAAGTCCCTCCAGATAAGTCTCTATCTCCAAATTAAAATGGCAAACAAGCCTTTTCAAGCTTTTTTTTCTTTCCTTAAAGAGGTTAAACATGCATAACTTCTTTGAATGTTAAAAGTTCAGGGAAGGGCAGGGGGGAAGTCTGCAAACACCCTCCCTATCTGAACCAGTCTCAGTCTGAAGGAAAGAAAGAGAGAGGAAGTGCTCTTTGTACCAGTTTGACTCACTGCCTCAAGCCAGATCCATTCAGTTTCTGCGATGACAAAGACACATGAGCCAGAGACTCCACCTGGTTTGAATACTTTTTTTTTTTTTAAATACCCACCTGGGCACAACCTGGACTGCTGGGACTGATTCATCACCCTTCAAGCTCAAACCCAAAAACTGACCCCAAGCTTTCAAGAAACTAGACACTTACCCTCAGGTCTCCAAGCAAGTCACTTTTGAAGTGTGAAAGGAGTCTTCACTGGTAACACAGTCACAGCAGCTATGCTCCCCACCGAAGTTTTCCCTTTCTAACATATCTGAACTCTGACCTCATGGGACTATTTGCAGGAATAAAAATACGGTTTCCACTCTTGACTAAAGAGAGAAAGAAAAACAAGATCCTGCAACTTGTTCTGATAACTTGCACAAACAGCATTTTTATTGTCCGTATGCAGGATGACTAACCTCTAGGAATCAGAAAGAGATTCAGATCTCTACAGATCTGAAGTCTGTAACTTCAAAACTATCTGTTTTGCTATCACTGAAAAAATTTGTAAGAACATCCTGTCCCTTTACAGGACTTTTCAGGTCAGTCACTGTCTTAAGTTTACTTTGCATAAGAACCAAATTGCACAGCAGCGTATTATCCCAGCAGTAGAGGCATTTGTAGTAGTTTATACAGTTATGTGCATTGTAACAGATCTACCTACTGAGATTTCCAAAACAAATCATCCTGTACAAGGTACGATAAATCATCATTGCTACTATGACAGTGCCTCTGGCCCATATGAGTGGAAAGCAATGATTCATAAGATGTTTGATTCCTACCCTCAGAGAAAGAGGACTCTAATACTAAAAACAAATAGGGGAAGCAGCAAACAGTAGAAGAAGCAGAGGGAATTGGAGTCTTGAAACATCATACCATAAAGATGCTCGTTTAAAGCCCCAGCAATCTCTCACCCACAAAGTAAGAGCAAACAGAGCTGTAATTTCAGGAAAAGAGAAATAAGATCAAATCAGTGTTGACAATGCCAACAACTGAAGCTTAAAAAGAGCAAAATATTTGAAATCAGAACATAACAAGACCCAGCAAGTCTGAAACAGCTCCCTGCATTTTGTCAGTGAACTACACTGCCATTCAATGCCAAATGGTAAAGCCGACACAAAAACACTTAAGAACAAAGAAAGCAAGGAGATTGCAAAGTTACTAAACTACAAGCATTCACTAACAAAATCCTGGATCAGCAATCTGCAAGCAAGCCTCCGGAGTTTTACTTGCTCTGTAAAAAGAACTGGACTTTAGGGTATCTCATGAAACAGTACATGAAAAAAAGAAAATAAACAGAACAGGAATACCACAACACTCCAAGTTCTAACTTTTCATTAGATGCCTAAAGTTTTAAATGCTTCATTCCACAGTTTTCCTAAATAGCACAAAATGAGACTCCTAGTACTGTCTCACATTTATATATCAACACTAAATTCATGACCGTAAAAAGCACCCAAAGTTTCTTGGATGAAACATGCTGGTATTGCTATTGCAACTAATGAAACCACAAAACAAACATTGTAAGGCAGTATATTGCGAGTTTCCTCCTCCAATTTTCTGAAGTGCTCAAACTTCAATGTCCAAGCCTAAAAAAACCCCTATACTCAGCACACTTTAGATAATCTTTAAAAAAAAATAATAAAACCAAAATTACTAGAGGAATAGGACTACAACACACTTCTTAACACAGCAAATAAACTCTTACATTTGTTATAGGAGTGGAAACATGCATACAAACTATAGCATTCTTTATTAGTAGTACATGAACAGATAAAAATGTCAGCATCCAGATTCAATTAAAGCAAAAACAGCCTGAGATCCTTGAAGGGAGGGGGAAAAACAATTCTTTTTGTTTCTGCTTAGGTCCCACCAAGCAGCCATGTGTTTTTTGAAGTCTGCCCTTCTTGCAAGTATTTTTACTTACCATAAAAGTTAATTTCCTATTGGAAACAAAGTAACTAAATCGAGTATGCTTCCTTATACTAAAAAGACAAGCCAAAATTGTCATAACTGGTAACAAATTATGTCCTCTTAACTTAACTCCAGGGCCAAAAAGAAAGACACTAAGCAATCCACAGTTTTGGGTAATCCAATTATTCCTGTAGGATTGATAAACAGAGGAATGAGATTTACAGTGCTGCATTACTGTACGTTACACTGTTACTTAAGCATCTGTTTAGCTCTTGTTGCACAGTCCCCCCAGAAGCGAATGACACAGCATATAACAATGTCTAGCTTATCTATTGAAAAAAACCCCAAAAAATCAGGGTCCTTTTTCAAAGACCTTTAAGATACGTATCCAAAAAAGGTTATCACATACAATGAATTTTACATAGTTCAAGCAGTCCCGAAGAACAAGCATGCATGTGTTTTAGCAGAACTTGCCTGGAGAAGGAATTACCTAATGAAAGCTGCTATGTGTTAAAACATGCCTTAGTTCACGAATGCAGAGAACTACAGAGCAGGTCACGTGAAGATCAGTCTACAAAATCTAGTTCAGAATTTATCTTTTTTTTTTTTTAATATGCAGCCACGTTCACATATTTTACCACACTGGAAACGTGTCCTAATGGGTGCCAGCAATAGCTGTGCTCCTAGCTGCACTCTCACGGGCAGAGATAGGCAGCAGCACCATCCTCACTAGCAGAGTTGCATTGTGCTTTGAAGTTGGGGGCGGGGAGGAAGACCACCAGCACATACAGCGATGGTTTCTATTCACGGATCATAATGTATGAAGGCTATTCCTCAAAGCAGACACAGTATATACTAAGCTTAGCCTTGTCTCTGGATACTTCTAATTTCCTGGCTGGCACCAGTACTATTCTTGACTTCACAGCATTGCAAGAAACGTTTGTAGATACCGACACTGATTTTTCCAAAGTCGAATTGTCATGACAAAGTTAGAAAACACTGCCATATGAAGGCAATATAAAAAATAAAGCAAAACAGAACACAAATTAAAACTGGAATGCTGTTTTAACTTTCCACCAGCAGGTCACATAGCCTAAAGCAATAGTTGTAAGGAAAGGACTGTATACATGCCACACCAAGCAAGCCAGGAACTTGCGGTACAAGTAACTATTTAAGTCCCCAGTTGAGAAGTCAGAATTGACAGGAACATAACGATGTACAAGGGGTGAAGGCAGGACAGAGTCTTGGTGAAGGATGGGGTGTTTAATACAGGCAAGCAACGCTCAGTTAAGAAAGTCTGGGGTTTTTCCACCCTCCTTTTGCATTCCTAGGGCAAACGGAGGACCTGGCAGGTCTAGCCTAACTTGCACAAAGCCTGCTCCGGGGGAAGAGCATCCTACCACACACCTGGGAAATGGAAAATGAAAGGAAACAACTGTTGTGCAACACAGCTCACCCCTCGCTGCACTCCCGGGTTTCCAGGGCCAGGGCTGCCCCGGCGGCGATCCTGGCCGGGGCTCCGCGGAGCCGCCCCCACTCCG